TTTCTCAGGTGAAGAAACTGAGGCCCAGAGTAGTGCAATGATATGCTCTGAAGCACACAGCTTATGGAGTGTCGAGCCCAGAATTTTATTTATTTAACAAACATTCATGTAGTGTTCACTCTGTGTCAGTCCAGAGAACCCATGAACCTTACATTCCAACAATTTTCCAGTAAAGTATTATTATCACAAGTAGGACTTCCCTGAAGTGGCAACTTGTTTCTTTCTTTTTAAAAAATATCTTATGTATTTATTTTTAGAGAGAAAGGAAGAGAAGGAGAAAGAGTGGGAGAAAAACATCAGTGTGTGGTTGCTTCTCATGTGTCCCCTACTGGGGACCTGGCCTGCAACCCAGGCATGTGCCCTGACTGGGAATCGAACCAGTGACCCTTTGCTTTACAGGCCTGTGTTCAATCCACTGAGCTGTCTTTCTTTCTTTCTTCTTTTTTATTTTTTTTTAAGATTTTATTTATTTATTTTTAGAGGGGAAGGGAAGGAGAGAGGGAGAGAAACATCAATGTATGGTTGCCTTTCATGCATCCGCTGCTGGGAACTGGCCTGCAGGGAACCGGCCTGCAACCCGGGTATGTGCCCTGACTGGGAATTGAACCGCCATTGTCTGGTTCGCAGGCCCGCGCTCAATCCACTGAGCTACACCAGCCAGGGCTCTTTCTTCTTTTTTAGATGTAGATTTTTTTCCCTCCAATTACAAAGTAATACATGGTTATTGAGGAATAGGTTGAAAAAACTATACAGAGAAGCACAAAGAAGACAGAGCAGAAATTTCTTCCTTCCTGCACCTCCCACATGGCTTCCGACTGCGGGTTCACGTGAACAGGTGATGCGCTGGGGAAGCCAGGAACAGATCTGCGTCTCCTGGAGGCTGATATGCAGCATTTTGTGTTTTGATATAAAGGACTTTGAGCGGAGGGAATGGAGGAGTTCTTCAGGAGGAGATACACCAGGGATAAGGAAGTTTGCTTTGGGCCTCGCTGGACCAGGGGCTTCCTCCTTTACCAGGTGTGCAACATCGGACAAGTCACTCGATGTCCCCCAGGCCTTGCTTCTTCACCTGGAACCTGAGACTCTGCATCCCCAACTCACCTCCCTATAGGGGACACTTCCCATGCCCAATGCCTGCTGCACTGGAAGCCCTGGTTCGCTGGCAGAACACACCTTCCTTTACGTAGGTCCCCGGGGTTAAGTTCTTTGTGCAAAACGCCTCAGTGCCTTGGCAGACAGATCTGAGTTCTGTTACTGGCTTCGTCTTTAATCAGCCCTTGGTCAAGTCCTTTTACTTTTTTGACCCTCAGTTTCCTCATCTGTCCAAATTGTACTGTTAAAGGGTAGGAGGTGTCAACATACCAACACATGTACATGCCTGGCGGGATGCTCTACACGCAGAAAGTGCTCGGGAGGTGTGAGCTCGGACTGCCGCCCTCGCCGACCGCAGCCGTCCTATGTGCCGGCAGCGTCAGGCAGGCACACAGGTGAAGACGGAGCCCGGCTGCCAAGGAGTCTGAAGTCTCACCGAATGTCTGACTTCAGACTCTGTGCTCTTGCCACTGCACCCTTTGAGTTGGGCCCTGGAAGGATGGATTGGATTCGAGAACATGGGGGAGGAAGGGAGGAGGGGCCTTGTGGGTGTGAAGCCATGTTAGCAAAGCCTGGGAAGTGGGAAAGTGTAGAGCATGTCGACATTAAGAAGTGTCCGCACCTGTGGAGAATTTTTATGAGTTTATCTGAGTCAAACTGACAACATATGTCGGGGAGCAAGGTCTCAAACGGTCTGGAGAATAACCGTTTTTGCACTTGACCGCATGTGGAGGTGGGAGAAAGCAGCACGGGGACTGGATTACAGGACAGTTAACAAGATTACGTGCTCTCTTGAGGGTTAATATTCTCTCCTAGGGGTGTTAACTTCTCGTATTTCAAAGGAGTGTTTACCCAAATGCTCAAAAACAACGCACAGAGGTTGCTTAAAACCTTTCCCTAAAGAAGCTGCCAGCCTGGGGCATGACTACCCACCATGACCTGCCCACTTAGGAATTTATGATCAGACCACCCTGTGAGGTTCCTTTCCATAAAACCCTCCCCCCCTTTTTTTTCCTGTCCACAGGCATGAATGGAAATCTCCAAGTATTTTAGACAGCCTCGTCTGGTTCATCTCTCATGAACTTTAGCTAAAACATATTAGGTACCCACTATGCATTCACCCCTCTGAGTAGTTTCTATCCTATACCTTATGGATCCACACAGTAAAGGGAAAGGTCGCTTTTGCCATTTGAATTGCAAAGATGAGGAAGTTGAGGCTCAGAGAGGTCCAGCAGCCCGACCAAGAGTACAATGCTGGGGGTGGATGGGGCATGAACTCAATCAAGTTCAGGGAGGCAGACTGCAGGTCTGCGCCCCACACCTTTTGCAGGAATTAGTTCCCAGGCAGTGAAACTCAAAAGCCAACCTCAGCCGCCTGAAACTCAACCGCAGAGTTGGCTCTTAGCCCCCTTCCTGGCTCCCTTCTTTGGTCTCAGTCAGCCCCACCCTGCCACCCTCATTTCCCTTCCTGGCCCCGGGGGCTGCTTCTTCCCCAAACCTGCTCTGCTACAATTTCTTCCAGGCTCCCACATCTGTAAAATGGGGATAAAAAGAGTGTCTCTCTCTGAGGGCTGTTGTGAGGATTGGGGGAGATTCCCAAAGAGCCTGAAACCCAACATGCAGTAGGTCCTCGTAAATACTAATGATCATCACCACCACCACCATTTTTTTTCTATCTTTAAATTTTTTTAAATCTTTTTTAAAAAAATACATTTATTTTTAGAGGGGAAAGGAGGATGAAAGAGAGGGAGAGAACCATCACCTCTCACCCTGGGGAGACACACCTCTCAAACACCACCTGCCATACTGGGGACCTGGCCCACCACCCAGGCATGTGCTGGGGCTGTGAGTCAAACCTGTGACCTTTTGGTTCTCAGGCTGGCACTCAGTCCACTGAGTAACACCAGCCAGGGCTATCTTTAAATTTTTTTTACCACCACTATTTTAATAGTGTCTCTGAAGTCCTGTGAAATAGGCCTTGTGGGAGCACTACCCATATCTGATGGCCGAGAGGTGAGGCAGCCGTTCGTCCAGGCTCACTCAGCTAGGAAGTGCAGAGCTGGACGGGAATCGGGGCCTCCTTGTCACTCTTTGCAGGGAAGGTGAGTAAATCATATAGTCTGTATTTATTACCCACACTCTGCATGCAAAACCAGGCCCTGGTTGCTGAGGGACATTCAGATACAGTTCCCACCTTTGAGAGAGCTTAGAATTCAACTACTAAACAAGGTGTGAAAACAAAGCCTTGTTAGTTGAGGCAGAACACACTAAGGGTTGAAAGTGCAAAAGACACTCTGGTAAGAGGGTGGCAGGCAAGGGAAGCTTCCTGGAGGAGCTGGAGGACCAGTGAGATACGTGACTGGAGTGAGAGGTGTGTATGCTGGAGATGACAGAGATGTAACCAAGCTGCCAGGTTCCTTATGAACCAGGCTCTATGCTGAGAGCTTTACATGCATAATCTCATGAAATTTTCCCAGAATTCTATAAGGTGGGTGTTGTTACTAGGGGCGAGAAAACCTAGTTTACAAAACTTGCACGGGGTCACACAGGCCAGTCAAGTTTAAACCCAAGGCTGTTTACAAAGTCTGGGCTCTTAATCACTATGGATTATTGGCACCTCAGCTTCACTATCTGAGGGTGAGGACTATATATTAAGCTGGGAACCGACTCTGAATGGTGATAAACGCCAGGCTCAGACATGCAGAAAATCACACAGCACTGGGAAAGAATCAGCAGACCTAGAATTTAGCTGCAGCTTCTAGCAGCATTGCCATTCATTAGCCAAGGCCACTTCTCTGAACCTCAGCATCTCTTAACTGGAGAGAAGAGGAATGTAGTGGATTATCAACAATAAAGGTTTTGAATGAAGGAGGGAGGCTCTTGTGACTAGAGGATTGCTTCAGAGAACCCTAGAGATGTTCCAATATTCACTGGGTGTTGGGCTCTGGGAATACAACTGTGAGGAAGACAGAGCTCTGCACCCTGGACCCCACCCCACTCCCATACCTGCACGGGGCCAGGCACAGGGCACAGCTCAGGAGAACTGAGGAGGAACCTCTTGCTGGAACAAACAAGGGCTCAGCAGCTGGCCTGTCCTAGTTCTCAAATCAGCAAATCTCTCCGTGTGACCTGAGGCAAGTTACCCAGCCTCCTGGCCTCTCCGTCTTCACCGGGAAGATCTGCATTATTCGTCCCAGAATTGTTATATTAAATCCAACAAAACAATGCCATGTAATCGTCTAGCAGGGTGCTTGACAACTGTACACGCTCAATAAATGTTAATATTGCCCGCTAAGAGAAATAAATGTTAGGCTCCGTCCCTTGTCCCCCACCCCTCTCTGCCTCCAAGAAAGAGAATAGATTCCTGGCCTTCATTTTTTTTCCGAGAAAAGGATAGAAATGTATGTATGCTAGCTAGGCAACCATGCCAACTAACAAAAGACCCTCAGCCTGGGTGATATACTGTTGGGTCTGGGTTCAGGTCGGGACTCTGTTTCCGACCCACCCCCAGGGAATTCGGGCCTATTACCCGGAACACTCGCAGTGCTCAGTGCTTTCGGCACAGTACCGGAACCGCCCTCCCAGTCTGTTTCGAGAACGACAGCAGTTGTGGCTGTCTCTTTAAGCAGCCAAACTCCTGTTGCAATCACCGCCTAGGGGGATGGGTCTTTTCCAGGGGGTGGAGCCTATGCTTGTTGCAGCGACCAACAGAAGCTCAGCATTTTCCGCGGGAGATCCGAATTTCGCGGCACGCAGTTTGGCGCTAAAAAAAAAAAAAGAAGAAGAAGGAAAAAAAGAGGCAGAGAAAGGCTCAGGGACTACAGAGCAAGGCGAGAGAGAGTCGGTGCAATCGGTCCTCCTACCCCGTCCGAGCGCATCACGTCTCGGTCGAGCCCGCGGGTACGCCAGAGACCCCTAGGCGCTGCGCCCTAGACACCGAGGCCTTCAGGGGCGTGGGGCCGTCGCGGGTCGCCGCAGCCCTTGGGGCGGGGCAGCCCCAGCCGCGGGGCGATCTCCAAGCGGAGATCTCCAAGCGCTGTTCTGCTGGGCCGCGGGCCAGGAGGGGAGGGTCTGGCCTTGCCCCGCATGCGTCCATTGGCCGCTTCCTGGAGCCTCCGCACCATGCCGCGGGCCCTGTGAGTCGCCGCTGGCTCGGGAGCCCGCTGGTGCCCGCGGGTGCGCCAGGGGAGGGGGCTCTGCGCTCGCCATGTTGCGAGGGCCCCAGGCCTTGGCTCCGGCCTCTGGGCCGTCTCTGAAGGGGTTGCCCGCGATGAGCCCCACCGAACTGTGGCCACCCGGCCTCCGCAGCCCCCAGCTCTGCCCGGTCACCACCACCTACTACACGTCGCTGTACCCGCAGACTGTGCCTCCGGCCGCCGTGCCCGGCACCTGCCTCGACGCCACCCCCCACGGACCGGAGGGCCAAGCTGTGCGATGCGTGCCGGCTGGCCGGTTGCCGGTAATTCTGGGGACCCCTTCCACACCCCGCTAACCGCTTCCCTCTATGCTTTCCGTTTGTGGTCAAGGAGGGAGAGGCGCCCGGGACCCGGTTTGAGTGAAGCAGGTGGAGTTTGGGGAGGGAGAAGGGGAGCTTTCAGCTTCCAGAACAATTCAATGCCCCCCGTGGAGAAGAGCCCTTGATTTTCAAACTCGAGGTGAAATAACATTGGAATGGAGTGGAATGAACACTGGGTTGGCAGTGCGGCGATCCATCCCTCCATCCCTCCTGCACTATGTGACCTTGGGGAAGTCCAGGGAGCCAACTTTGTTGTCATTCATTCATTCTTCATTCATTGTTTGGCTCAGTAACCAGTACTGGGCACCTGCTATTGTGCCGGCACAAAGCTAGGTCTGCGGATACTGTAGGGACTTTAAAATGGGGGTGGGGGTGTCTTCTCAGTGGAGTATGGCTTGGACAGACTCCAAATTTTCCAGCCAGCCAACTCGCTCCTAATTATGTGCCCTGGGTCCTCCCCCAGGCCCAGTCTTCCCTCCCAGACAGCCAGCAGCAGGTGCAAGTTGGGGGCAGCTCCCCGGGGTTCCTGTTCAGATGGACTGTTCCCTCCTTAAGCCCCCAAGCCTGTTGCCAGGGAGAGCCTGAAGTGTAGCACACTGGGCACAAGGGTGTGTTTCGTGGGAGTGGAATTCCTGGCTGGAGCCCATGAGAATCTGAACAACCATAGGGTGAGGGTGGAGTGGGAAAAGCCCTAGGGGAAGGGGGGAGGTTGGAGAGCTTGCCTTCTGGTCTTAACTGCCACTAATTCACTGTGTGTCCTTGGACAAGTCTTAGCCCCGGTTTCGTTTTCTTGTAAATGTGTATGTGTGTGGAGTAGCTGTGGAGCTATCTGATCTCGGGTCCCTTCCAGCTCCAGGTGCTGGGTTTTGGGAGTAGGCTCCAGGGAGCGAGTGTTGGAGGTTTGCTTAGTTGTGAGTGATGAATAAATACAGGTTGAGGGAAGACCAGCCCCTAGAGGCACCTGGTCAGACCTGTGTCAATCAACAGGCACAGACCCAGCCATTTCTGGATGCTGGCGGAGCCTTCACTCCCTGCTATTGGAATTGTGTTTGGCCATATTCTAGGCTTTGCCCTATTCAGAGGCCCTTCCTCGTGTTATTTCCAACTAGGAGGAAGAAGGTGGGGGAGCTAGTCCCATTTGATAGGTCAAGGATAACTGGGACTGGGTTTCTGCCATGTGTTTGGCGTTTTACAGCCTAAAACAATTTTGAACCCTGTGAAGTAGATGGCAGTAGGGGGAAACTGAGGCTCAGAGAGGGGATGCGACCTGTGCAAGGTCATACAGGGAGATGTATGATGCCACAGGCAGGTGGTCATCAGTCTCTTCTCTGCAGCCTTGACTTTGCCCGGCACTGCCTGACTTAGAAGCTGGGTGCATCCTGGGAAGGGGCTCAGTGGCTGGCCCCGTCTCCTCTGGCCAGCTGCTTTCAGGCGCCCAGGCAGAGTTTCAGTAACAGCTGTGGTTTTGAACTGCTTCTCTCCCAGAGGAGCCCGGGTGCATCTGTTTGTACTTCTCTCCAAAGAGGGGCTCATTAATCACAGCAAGAATGGCTCTCTTTTACTGAAGCCTGTTGGGTGCCAGGCACTGCTTGGCACTCTTCGCATTCATTATCTTTGTCAAGATGCCTGGGATGAGGCATCTTACAGATGAGGAAACTGAGCAGAGACGTGAAGTCACTCTTCCAAGTAACAAGCCAAGAGGTGGTAGAGTCTCTTCCCATCAGACCACCCTAAAGGCCTACCCGGCCCAGAGCTCCCTCTTGCCTGTCAGTCCTCAGATGCCTGGTGCCCCTGGCCCTGTGGGCAGGCCTTGGCCCCCTGCTTACTCATTCTGTAGGGTGTGACCTGGAGTAGCTCCAAACCCAACCCTGGGTGTGGCCGCTTGCTTTGCGGCCAGGCTGCAAAGTGCAGGGTGAGCAGGATTTGTCAGTGAGCTGCTGCTGTTTAAAGGGACCTCAGGCACTGCCCAGGGATGGAACCAAGTTCAATGGCAGAATGAAGGGCAGAGCCCAGGTCTCTGCGCTCTCTGTCTAGTGCTTTTTCTGCCATTCTGTGCAGAAGGCTTGGGATGGTTGTTCGTTGGGTGGCTGCTCCGGCCAGGCATTGCACGTTGTCTTCATACCTGCAGGAACCTGGGAAGAGGGCAGGATTCTGCACTGTTCTCTTTTCCTTTGAATTCCTCTGTATTTTTCAAATTTCCTCTGAGAACCATGCAAGAAAGTGAACATTTTAATGAACAACCCTGCAAGACGGTTGGGATGAGGAAACGTAGGCTGAGAGGCAAGGGTGCGACTCCCACGCTGGGGTCTGGATGTGGGGTTGTGTCTGGCTCTCTCACTTCTGGGGCTGCATTAGAAAGGACCTCTGTTCTTCTCCCTCAGGATTGGCTGGGTGGCTTCGAATTTTAAGCCGGCCTTTAAGAAGCAGCCCAAGGGGCGACCTAAGAGGGCCCAGGTCAGAGCCAACCTGGCCTCTGGGTGTGGTCCCAGACTTTTGCTCTTGGCACATCCCTATCTTTTCAGCTGACCTCTGAACTTTTCCTCTTCGGCTGCCTCTGGAGTTTTAGTGACAGCAGCTCCCCCGAGTGCACAAAGCGCTTTGCTGCACTGTCTCACAGAATCCACAGCAGAGGTCCAGTGGCTTAGCCCCACTTCACGGGTAGGATGCAAGAGGTCAGCTGACTTGCTCAGCTCGCCCGGCTAAGAGGGGGGGAGGAGGGCTAGAGGGGAACCCAGGTGGGCCTGGCTCCAAGGTTTGTGCTCAGCCTCTCCTTGGTCCTCCTCCTGGGCTTGTCCTCGGCCACTTCTGCTCTGCAGGCTCAGGAACATCCACGTGCTGACCTTCCTCTGGGCAGCACACAAAGGTGTCAGAGAGATATCCTTGGGTGGGGGACACCTTGCTGCTTAGGGACTCAGAGTGCAGGATAAGGGTGAGAGTGAGAAGAGGGGCTGGTATGTGTGTGCGTGTGTATGTGTGTATGTGTGTAAAGTGATGGAGGCAGGTGGGTACATCCAGGCGTTGGCCCAGATTCCAGCAGATTCTGAGGGAATGTGTGTGGGATGGAGCTGAGGAAGCCTGCTGTGTGGCTTTGGAATCAGTCAGTCCTGGGTTCAAACCGGCTCTTCCCTTCAGCTGTGTGACCTTGGGGCACGTGGCTTAGCCTCTCTGAGTCTCCACTTCTCTACCAAGAGAGATTGCCAACACTGATGTCGCAGGACCGATGAGCAGGGGACAGGCTCTTCACAGGGACTCTCTTTAAGGTCCTGCCCCATTTCTCCCCACTCTGCAGGTAGTGAGGTCCTTCCTGGTATGTTCTGCCAGGTAGGGGAGGTGGGTGGGGCTGGGAGATTCTGGGTCGCCCCACCTCTGCCTCCGACAGAACTCGGCCTGACTTCCCTTTTTCTCCCTGCCCTTGGCTTCCTTTTGAGGACTGGATGAAGGGTTCTGGGATCAATAACCTTGATTAGGATCGATAAAGGCCTCGGAGTTTGCCGAGTCTCAGTTACTTTAGCTGTAAAATGGGGATAGTGGTGTTGGGAAGATTCAGTGAGGTGATGAATGTTCAGGCTTGGACCAGGGCATGTGGAAGGTTTCAGCAGATGATCGGGCCTTTCTCTAGAGACAAGATGGGGCCAGAGCAGGTCATCTTCCCTAGAATCTAGGATGTTACCAGTTGGGAGGTTAGACAATGAATATTCCAGAGAGACTTCAAGAGGAATGAGCAGGGAGGCATTTGGACCATGTCCACATCTGGGTAGGTGTGGTGGAGAGAAATATCATATCTAGGCTCCTCAAACCAGGGGGCATTGCTCCTTGGATCAATCCAGGAAGACTTCCTGGAGGAGGTGTGTGTGGGGGAGGGGCACATAGAGCAAGAACTGTCCTCGCCTCCCACACCTGCCAGCCCAGCTGTGCTCAGTAGCGGTTAGAACTCTCAGCCCTGCCGAGCATGACTTCACTACCAAAGGTTAAAATAGGCCTCTCTGTCCCAACCAGAGTAGGTAGGGGTGACTGGTTGGGACAGAAAATAGGAAGAACATAGGCTCAGTGACCCCCAGAAGTGTGTGCCAAGGAAGAGGCTGAGATTGGATTTTAGAGTAGGGACTCTGCGTTTCCTGAACATCCACTGCGGGCCGAGCCTCAGGCTGAGAGGTTTATCTTGAATTCTTACACTGGCCCCTTGGTGGAGGTATTTTTCTGCCCCATTTTACAGAGGAGGAAACAGGTTCCTAGTTGTGGGGCATTTCTCTGAGTTGTGTGTGCCTGGGAAGGAGCTGGGAGGTGCGGGCCCAGGGCTCTGACTCCAGCGCCCCAGTGCCCCAGTGCCCTAGCCCTGCCCCTGCCCAACCCTAACCAGGACCGAGGCCCCTTCCGGGCCAGCGCAGCTTCTGGGCCTGGCTGGGGCTGGGCGGCAGTGGGGTGTAGAGGAGCAGATGGGTCTGCGGTTTGATTTCCCCAGCAGGTGTTTCCCAAGCTTGGCGGGAACAGGGAGGGGGAGCAGGGGACCTCAGCTGCTTGTCCTTAAGACGTAGGGGAAGGATTCATTGTCTGCCCGTCTCCACTAAGAAAGAATGGCAAGTGGAGTCTATTCAGGAGGCCCTGGAGCCCTTGAGCTGGAGCCCAAACATCGGGGTGGGGGATGTTTGCACGGCTTCCCGATGTGGGCACCTCCCTGGGTTGTGGCACCAATCCAGGAAGTCCCCTGGGCCTGGGCGGATGCCCGGCCCCACCCTGATAAGGGCCAGCTGTGGGGCCGTGATGGGCACCCAGTCTGGCTGGGCCAGCTGCTTGGGGGGGGGCGGTGAGGGGGTGCTCTCCCCAGTCTGATGTGGTTTAGGCCCCACCCACTCCTTCCTGCATTATCCTCTGTGCGTAGGGGGAGGGGGCAGATTTAGAAGTGACCCTGTAGCCTGTTACTAAGGAACTCCCACCTTATGGTCACACTGACTTTGGTAAGGTCTGCACGTGCCTGGGCCTCAGAGGATGGGAGTGTTGTGTGCCTCTCAGAAAATAGGACTTCCTTCCCCTGAAAGGTCACTTGTCAGGTCATTGATATTTCCTCACCAAGTACAGTGATATTTCACCAGGACTGGGGGTAAACTGAGGCAGGAAGTAGCTGCTGGTGGCCTCAGTGCTTTGGCCCCACGTTGGGGAAGGGCTGAGGGGGGAATGATTCTCAAACTCTGCCTCTCTCCCTTCTCTCTCTGCAAGGCCAAAAGGAAGCTGGACCTGGAGGGGATCGGGAGGCCCGCGGTCCTGGAATTCCAGACTCCCAAGAGGAAGCACATTAGAGTGGATGGCCTCCCCAGCCCTAAAAGTGAGTGGTACTGATGGGTCACCTGGGGGCAGGAGACTGGCGGCGGGGTGGGCAGGGGCCCAGGGCAGCAGCCCCGCCCAGATCATCAGGAGTAATATTTGTAGCACACTTCCTGGTGCACAGAACTGTTTGCTGCGTGTTCGCTCCATGGACCCCGCCAGATGGGTCGGATTACCCTCCTTTGACTGATAAGCGACTTGAGACTCAGAGCTCGTGTGCCTTGCCCAAGGTCACACTGCTGACAGGTGGAGACAGGACTGCAGCCCAGTCTTGTACTGCTTCTCTCACACCTCTGCCCTTGGGTGCCGAACAGGGTGACGGACAGTCTGTTTGGGAGCTGACTGTTTTTAAAGTTTCTTAGTCCAATCTGACCTTTTCTCTGAGAGAATCCGGCTCAGAGAGGAGCAGGTTCTTCCCTCCACATGCAGACAGAGAGCTAAATAAGTGATTCAAGGGGAAGTGAAGCTGGGATTAATCCAACTCATGCTACCTCCGAGTTTTTTAAGATCCAGGGGCTGCCCAGGCAGTGACTTCCTAAAGCTAAGTTGCAGAGATTTTCCGCCTTAGTGTCTGCAGTCATTCTGGTTAGAGTGGGAGTTTCAGACCCTGTGTTAGGAGGAAATGCTAATTTGGGGGGTCAGAGACCCAACAAAAAAGGTATGTGACTGGGTGGGAAGCATAAGGGTCAGGAATCTTGGGGGTCCAGGCAGAGCTGTGCCCTGACCCAACTGGCCATTCCTCCTGTGTGAACCTTAGGTATCTCATCTGTAAAACGAGGTACAGCTAGATCGTGAGTAGCAGAAAGTGTCCTTTCCTATTGATGGGTAGAAGCTGCCCAGAGCTCTTTATGGAAGGATCCTAAGTGCATTGATCCATTAGTGATGCCTGCCCTGAGTGCAAAAGTTAAAAAAAGCAACCCGTGTGCCAAATACGTGTCATCTTTATGTTAAGGGATCCTAAGGTCCCCTTCTAGAGGAATCTGAGACTCTCTAGAACTCAGTTTCCTGAACTAGTTTGGACACTAACTTGCTGGGTGACTTGCAAGTCACTTGATTGCAGAAGTCCTCTTGTGGTTTAAGATGCTGCAGCTGAGATGTGGTCTTGTGACATCAGCTTCATTAACAAAGGGACCTTTTTCACGAACCTGCCCCACTGGAGCACACAGAAAGAAAAGGCAAGTCTGTAAGAACGTTCTCAAACCCAAGCTTGTCATTCGCTCCCTATCCTAACTCCAGATTTCTGACATAACAGGCGGGATAGGACAATGTTGTTAAGAAGGAAGGCTTACATTTACACTGTCTGGGTTTAAGTCCCAGCTTTGCCACTTTCTAGCCAAGTGAGGTGAGCATGTTACGTAACCTGTCCGTGCCTCAGTATACCCATCTGTAAAATGGGGATGGTTATGCACCAAATTTTTAGGGTGTTGTAGGGACTATTTTTGTTGTGTGTTGAAAGTGCTTAGCACAATGACCTACACACAGTACACGTTTGTCATTGTCATCATCGGCGGTGGTGGTGGTGACGTGGCTGCCCTGAGCTGTGGTGGAAAGGTGCTCTGTACCAGGGGTTAGGATGTCTGGTTTGAGCCCTGACACTGCCCTTGACTGTGAGACCTTAGCCGATCGCTTTCGCTCTCTAGGTGTGAGGCTCCCTGTTTGGACAATGGCAGTGAGTGACACCCCCCCCCCCGACTCACAGTGCTGTGTTGCTGGAAAGTGGGGGCTCTTGTGAAGGCTGGTACTGAGTGGGTCCCGGTCCCTGAAGGAGGCTCCCCAGGCTGGCCTTCTCTCAGCACTGACCACGCCCCTTCCCTCCTCAGCGCCCAAGTCCCCGGGGGAGAAGACTCGGTATGACACATCCCTGGGGCTGCTCACCAAGAAGTTCATTTACCTCCTGAGCGAGTCCAAGGACGGGGTCCTGGACCTGAACTGGGCTGCGGAGGTGCTGGACGTGCAGAAGCGGCGCATCTATGACATCACCAACGTGCTGGAGGGCATCCAGCTCATCCGCAAGAAGGCTAAGAACAACATCCAGTGGGTGTGAGTGCCTGAGCTGGGGCTGGCGGCACCTATGGGTGCAGGTGCTGCGGGTGGAAACAGGAGCAATATCCAGTGGGTGTTGAAGTCGGGGGTGGGGCCGAGAGCATCCAATGGGCACAAGTGCTCGGAGCAGACCACGAGCAACATCCACCAGGCGTAGAAGCTGGGGGCGGAGCCAGTGTACTAAGACTGGAGCGGAAGAGCAGGTGTACGTGCTGGAGCAGTACTGGGAGAGTGTGACAGGGCAGCGTGGAGGACGCTTTCTAGGGGCATAAAGGCCAAGAGGACTGTATCCTCTTGAGTCAGAGGCCCCAAGATTTCACTCTTCTAGTGTAGGAAAGTCCCCCAGTTGCTGAGCAGTAATAACCTAAGCTCCTTGCGGCTCAGAGATGTGAGGACTCCAGGCTTCTCTCCTCACTTCCACAAGGTCTTAAAGAGCAGACCTGCAGCCTCTGGCCTGAACCCTAAGAGAACCCAGGCAGGCAGGTCAGGATTGAGGTCATTCTAGCTTCCCTGCCATTTGCGGGAGGCCGGGGCATAGAGTGGACAGAGTTGAAAGCCTCCCGCAAGTGAGGTCACGCTCTGATTTATTTCTTCTCCCTAGCCCAACCCCCAAACATCAAGACTCGGTCTCTGGCAGCTCCCTGGGAGCTGATTTGCACAACCCAGGAGCACCATCGTACACCATGTGAACGGTCTCATTCTGGGGTTGTGCACCATCTGTGCAGCTGGGCCCTGCAGCCCTCAGGTTGGGGCCCCTGGGTGTGGACTGAGACTGACACTGGGGGGCTGCTCTGTTCCCAGAGGCAGGGGAATATTTGAAGACCCCACTGGGCCCAGGAGGCAGCAGCAGCTGGGGCAGGAGCTGAAGGAGCTGATGAGCACGGAGCAGGCCTTGGACCAGCTCATCCAGAGCTGCTCTCAGAACTTCAAGCACCTGACGGAGGACAAGGCCAACAAGAAATATCCTCTTTGGTCAGGAGAAGGCTGTCGGAGAGTGGGGGCCTGCTGCACACCCAGAGTTGATGCGGCGCCTCCCTCAGGGGCTGGCGTATCCATGTTTCCCTTTACGGGCGGCTTCTCCTCTTGGTTCTACTGAAGTGACTTTCTCATAGTAAAAGTAAGACAAGTGCATTTCTTTAAATCTGCAAAATGGAGAAAAGAAAGAAATAGCTGCCACTGCAACATAGCCATTGTTCTTGAACCTTCCACAGGTTATGTCTTTTTTTTTTTAGAGAATTTATTTATTTTTAAAGAGAGGGGAAGGGAAGGAGGAAAAAAGGGAGAGAAACATCAATGTGTGGTTGCCTCTCCCACCCCCACCCCCATACTGGCCCGCAACCCAGGCATGTGCCCTGACTGGGAATCGAACCCGCGACACTTTGGTTTGCAGGCCCGCACTCAATCCACTGAGTCACACCAGCCAGGGCCATGGGTTATGTTTGAATACAGTGTGTGACTGCTGTGCGTGACATTGCGTATCCTGCTTTTCTCCTCTCAGTGTATCACCATAGACAGTTCTGATGTGGGTACAAGTCCTTCCTGACTATTTGGCTGATCCATGAGAAATTGTTGGTATTGAACCATTTTTTATCTACAAAAACAGCAGCCTTATATGGTTGAACCTAATATTTATTTATTTACTTATTTTTTAAAGAAGAATTTGTTTATTTATTTATTTATAGAGAGAGGGGGAGAAGAAAGAGAGAGAGAAACAACCATGTGTGGTTGCCTCTCGCATGCCCCCCACTGGGGACCTGGCCCGCAACCCAGGCATGTGCCCTGACTGGGAATCGAACTGGCAACCCTTTGGTTCCCAGGCCGTCACTCAATCCACTGAGCCACACCAGCCAGGGCCTAATTGTTTTTTTTTTTTTTTGTATATGACCTTGTATATTTGGAAGGGTGCTAGGCATTGTGAGAAATTTCAAGAAATAAGACATGTCTTCCTGCCTTCTCTAGTTTAAGTGATGAAGCCTTTATGTTAAAAAAAACCTGATAAAAGGCAGCATTTAAAAACATGATTTATACCTTTGTTTGCTTTCTAAAGAGATCCAAAGTAGCTTATGATATTAACAGAACAGGTTACAGCGTGGGGTTGTTTCTAAGGTGTAGAAGGTGTGAGGAAGAACGTTCACAGGCTTAGGAGATGGGGGGTGGGATCCCTGCCTCGGGGGCTGAGGGTGTGGATTTTGACTTCCCTTGACTCTGCTGCCCCTACACTGGCCTACGTGACTTACCAGGACATCCGCGCTATTGGCACCTTTAAGGAACAGACAGTGATCGCTGTCAAGGCCCCTCCGCAGACGAGGCTGGAAGTGCCCGACAAGAGTGAGGTGAGCAGAGGGCATTTGGTGGGGAGCAGGGTTAGGGGGTCCTGGGCAGCTCTGCAGGCCCTGGCCCTGCCCAGCCCCAGCTCCCCCAGGCCTTGCCAGTGCCCACAGCAGGCCCTGAGCTGGGGCAGAAATGACGGAAGCTGGGAAGGGCGAGAGATTCTGGCCAGAGGAAAACCTCTGCTTCTGGTTGCTCTCTGCATCCCACCAGCCCCTGTGTGTCTGTTCACACACACACATGTGACCACACACAGCAGTGGTAGCGCTCACAATAATCCTTCAATGCTAACCATGCTGTTCTAGGTTAAAGACCGAAATTCTTAACACTCCCTGTGAGGCCCTCTGCACTCTGACCTCGCCAGCCACCTGCCTGCCTGCCTGCAGGTCCCCACTGCTGTAAGCTTGTCCGCAGTACAGGACTTCACACCTGCTGTTCCCTCCAGCCGAAATACTCTTCCCTCTCTCCCCCTGGTTTACTGCCATTGAGCCTACAAGTCTCAACTCAAATGTCACTTCCACCGAGAAGCCCTCCCTGATCACCCCTAGAATTCATAACCACCTGTGCTTTCCCACCACACCAGAATATCTTGGTGCTTCCATGGCAATAGTCTGTTTTGTCCGTTAGAGTGTCCACTCCACAAAAAGTGCGTTCCCCTCCTGTGGTACCCCAACCCAGAGCCTCATAAAGGCTCAAGAAATAGTTTGTTTAATGGAAGAACATGAAGATAAATAAGGCCCTGCCTTCACCACCTTGGAGGAGCTCAGAACCTAAAAGACCAAAGCAGGCCGAGGGTCATAGACTGAAGATGGGCTTTGAGGGCCAGGAGGAAGGAGAGTTGGAGGAAGCAGGCATCGGTGGTGACAGTTAAACTGGGTCCTGAAGGATGAAGAGGATTTTAAAAATCAAGTCATTTACCACATATAGTTGGTATACAATATTGTATCAGTTTCGGGTGTACAGTACAATGACTCAACATTTGTACACCTGATGACATGATCGCCACACTAAGCTTAGTAATCACCTGTCACTGTGCAAACCTATCCATTGCATAGGATTTTGCCAGCGGAGTGGGGGAGGAGGGCGCTGCGGGAGCCCCGGCCTGGGGAGCTGAGTGCGTGTCGGAGTGGCACGTGTGTGCAGTCAGCTGTGGCTGAAGCTGCTGGTATATGGTAGACAGGAGGCGAGGATGGGAAAGCCGTGTATCAGGACTCATGGTTACAAGTAGCAGAAAGATAAGTCCCACTGGCTTCAGCGAGTGGAAGAGGGAGCTGAGCGACAGGTCCTGGGGGAGGCTGGGGAGACTGCAGGGGCTCGCCCCTGACTTTAAGTCCGCCTCACGCTCTCCATCTCTCACTGTGCCGCTCTCTGTGCTGACTCTGCTCCCGGGTGGGCTCCCCGCTTGTAGCAAAGATAGCCTTCGTGATACCAGCTGGGCAACCCCAGTGGGAAGGGGGCCTCTGCTGCCAGGCCCTGGGCCTGATGCTGGTTGACTGGCCTGAGTCACGTGCCACCCTGCACCAGTTACTGTCCTTCGGACTTTCTCGTCCTGCATCCCAAGCTCACCCATTGGAGCTTGAGAGTGGGGATAGAGGGATTTCCTGAAGGAAAATCCAGGCATTCTCCCTGAAAGAAGGGGGCCCGGGAGCCAGGCGGGTGGAAGCAGCAGATGTCACTGCGGGCCAGACGGGGCAGGCCTCCGTGCCCAGCTCAGGGGTTGAGCTTGCTCTCGTGAGTGGTGGGAGCCACGTGTGTCCATCCATGTGCACTGACCCCTGAGTAAGTGTCCAGCTGCCCAGAGCCATGGCCTGGCTTCTCTTCCTCCTCCAGGAGAACCTGCAGATATACCTGAAGAGCACGCAGGGGCCCATCGAAGTCTACCTGTGCCCGGAGGAGATGCAGGAACCAGATAGCCCTGCCAAGGAGCCCATCCCCTCCACGTCCACCCTCAGCCCCAGCCCCGACTCTGCCCAGCCCAGCAGCAGCACCAACCCTGGCATTCTGGAACCCACGGCATCCCCAGGTAGGGCCCTCTGTCCAGGGGAATAGGAGGTGGGGAGAGCCACCAGCCTTAGCTTCCTCCTCCACATCAGCAGTTGTTGGGTATTGACCTTCTACCCAGCAGCAGAGGATATAGTCCTCCCCCGTGTGTGTGCACTGCACTCTACACGCCATAAAGCACGTGTGCATTGCTGTCTCACGTATGCATCAGCCTGCCCTGGCCAGCCGATCCTGCTTCAGGGCAGTGGGGGGCCTGGGTTTGAATCCCGGCTCTTCTTACCAGCTATGTGGTCTTGGACAAGTTATTTAACCTCTCTTTGCCTCAATTTCCTCATCTGTAAGTTGGTCTTAGTAATTAATGGTGTTCACTGAATGGGCTGTTGTGAGAGTTAAATGAGTGAATACATGAAAGCACTTAGAACTGTGCCTGGCAGTGAGTGCTAGCTGCTGTGACGGTGATTATTGCAGCCACCGCTGGTCCTGCGGCTTCTGTGACAGCTACTAAGAGCAGAGCTTCTTGCGCTCAGTCAGCCTACAGGAAGTGGAAACTATACTCTTTTTTTTGAGGAAGGCTCAATGCTCTCTTGGATAATAACTAAGGTTTTTGAACCATGACTCTGCCAGGTTACTGGGAGACACTCATTTTCACATTACTCCTCACAGCAATGCTCCTGGGTTTTCTTATTCCCAGGGTAGATGTAATCAACCGAGGCAGAGAGGTGATGCGGCCTGCCTGAGGTCTCCCGTCTGGGGGGCGACACAGCTGGGTCCTGAGCCTTGGTCTTCACATCCCTAGCCCAGGGCTGTCTCCGCGGGAAACAGAACGAATCAGGCAGGGGATCCTGGCTCAGCCTGGGCTGGGAGGCAGACGGTCCAGCTAAACGCTGGCTACGCCTCGCAGGAAGTAGCATGAGGCAGTTGCCGGGGAGAAAGAGGCGGGAGAGGTCCTTCCCAGGGAGGGTGGGTGTCTGCAAGGAGTGGGAGTGGGACACTGGGAAGGCCCCTCCACCAGCCTGGGTTTTGCTGTTTGCTGGGATCACACCTCGGGTCAGACTGGCAGGATTCTGGAGTCTACGCAGACCAGTGTTCCACTCTATGTGTTTTAGCAGCAGAGTTTCCTTAAGTAGAATCCCAGGGTTTAAACAAATGCAGAGCCCTGGCTGGTGTGGCTCAGTGGATTGAGTGCCAGCCTGCGAACCAAGAGTTCATCGGTTTAATTCCCAGTTAGGGCACATGCCTGGTTTGTGGGCTGGGGGTCCCCAGTTAGGTGTGTGTGTGAGACGCAACCAATGTATCTCTTACATATATATTGCCCGTTTTTCTCTCTCCTTCCCCTGCTCTCTAAACATAAAAAATTAAATCTTAAAACAATAAAACAAATGCAGAGCTAGAACAGGTCTGATGGAAGAGGTCTGTTTGGGAGGGTCTATAGAATACAGATTGGGTTCCATTTCTTTATGTAACTCAAGGATTGACACGCTATTGCCTGCAGCCCAAATTCGGCCTGTTTTTATGTGGTTCATGAGCTAAGAATGGTTTTCACATTGTGAGAGTTATAGGGGAAAAAAGAAAAGAAAGTGACTGTGACAAGAGACCATAAGTGTCCTGCAAAGCTGAAAATACTATGGGCCTTGTACAGAAGTTTGCTCACCCCTGATCTAACTCAGCCCTTCATTTTGCATATGAATAAAGGAAGCCCAGAGAGGGCAAGTGACTTGTCTAAGGTCACACAGCAAGTTGGTGGTGGAGCTTGGGCAACAGCCCAGACTCCCAACTCTTCTCTAATGATCTCTCCTGTGTCCTGGCCTGGTCTGGGGACCAGGGCTTCCCCCCGCACCAACCATCTGTCCCTCTGGGCACCTCCCAGTGCCTATCTCCTACTCCAGGCCTGTGCCCCACCCTGTTCTCACTCCACTGTCAACAAGTATGCGGCTCTCCAAAGTTCGAACCGCTTTCATTTCCGTTGGCCTCTGAGACATCCTTGCAGGCGCTGACATTCCGATGTAAACCTGAATGTGGCTGACAACACCGAAGTTAAAATCCGGGGACTCGCCTGCCCCTCGCCTCCCATGACTTGGTGAGGGGGGTGAGTCACCTCAGCCCCTCAGAGCCTGCTCCCGTACTCATGACCCCCTCGTGATCATTGGGTGGGTTATGGAGATGACACAGCGTGAGTGTGATTTTTAAGAAGGCTCATGTGAACTGTGCACCTACTACGTGCAGTATGGGAGGCACAGAAGTGAATGTGAGCCACTCGGGGTGGTGGAGGCACAGATATGACAAAGAGCAATTCTCCTGAGAACGTGACAAACCCTGAGAGAGAGAGAGAGAGAGAGCAAGGTCCGGCCTGCGGCAGAGGCGCTCACAGGTCAGCCCAGCTGCTGCCCCAGGCCGCTCAGTGAGGGCGGCCCTTTCTTTTCCTCCTGGTGAAACGGAGGCACCGGGTCCCCCAGCCGGTGAGGCGGGGCTGGGATCTGAGCCCACGTCCTCCCCACTCCCGAGCCAGGCCTCTTCCTATAACACCCGCAGGCCTCCACAGCACAATGAACAAACATTTGTGTTTTGTTTTGTTTTTTCTTCATTTGAATACACTTAATTGACTTCTTTGAGCTTCAGTTTCCCTATCTTTTTTTAAAAAAGATTTTATTTATTTATCTTTAGAGGGGAAAAGAAGGAGAGAGGGAGAGGAACATCAATGTACGGCTGCCTCTCATGGGTCCCCTGCTGGGAACTGGCCTGCAACCCAGGCATGTGCCCTGACTGGGAATTGAACCGGCAACCCTATGGTTCACAGGCCCGCGCTCAATCCACTGAGCCGCCCCAGCCAGGGCCAGTTACCCCATCTTTACTAGGGGTAACAGCACTGACACTTGAGTGTCACATGGAGGTGACACCTGCCTGTCCTGGAGAGCAGAGCCGGGCCCCGTGAGCCCTTGGTGAATGGGGCCGTTGTCACTGCGGACGGGGCAGCGACAGACCCAGTGCGGAGCTTTTGCTCGCCAGCCGTGCTTCACCTGCACTTGGCATCTCGCCCTCTCTGCCACCCTCTGAGGTCTGCGTCACCACCCCTGGTTGGAGGCAGGGACACGGGGGCTCAGCCATAGGACGTCTCCTCCTCACGGGCTGTCAGGCACGCCAGCCTGGTTGCCTTTCCAAAACAGCGCCTGGTAGGGCCTTAAGGAATGAGCCACGTGCTGAGAATGCAGGCATCGGGGTGCACTTGACGGGGGTCCCAGGCCCTACTCCACGCCTGAGTCGCAGACCACCTTCTTACCTGTACGTGAAAGTGGACTTGGTGTCTGAGGCCGCTGGTGACCGGTGTAGCCAGAGTGGGCGAGCGTGGACCGTGGGAGGGAGGCAGACGGGGGCCCGATCAGACCCGGCCTTCTCGACCCTCGTCAGAACTTGCACTTAGTACTCTAAGTCCTTTTATTTTTTAAAAATGTATTTATTTACTTTTTTAGAGAGAGGGGAAGGGAGGGAGAAGGAGAGGGAAAGAACCATTGATCAGTTGCCTCTCACACGCCCCCTACTGGGGACCTGGTCCTCACTGGGAATCAAACTGGCGACCTTCAGTTCACAGACTGCTTGGTGCTCAGTCCACTGAGCCACACCAGCCAGGTCTCTAAGTTCCTTTTATATCAGAGCACAGATGGCAAGGGACAAGAGCTGAAGCAAGGTGGCTGGTCAGGAGTGGTGTGGGTGAGGAGACAGTGGGACAAGGACCACAGCGATGGACCGAAGGGGGTGGGCAGCTTGGAGAACTCACTTGGTTGTGGAGAGGAGCTTGCTGCCGGATTGGATGCAGGGGAGATGGGCTGAATTCCAGGATTCTTGGGCCTTCCGGCCTAGCCCACCGAGTGGGCGGTGGTTCATTTCTTATGACAGTGAGCACAGGCCACCCTTGAGAAACTGTGCTCCGAAAGGGGGCAGTCGCATGGGCTGGTGACTGGAGTCGTGAGGCCAGGAGAGGAGAGTTCGTCAAAGACGGAGTTGTTAGATCTGTCCAGGTGTGGACGGGAACGATCTGGTGGAGCGAGAGGAATTGATGATGCAGGAGAAAAGAAAATGATATCAGGGACATCGCAGTGAAAGAGAGCAGGTTCTGAGGGCAGGAGGCCCCTCCCACTGGGGGAGGACAGAGGAGAGAGTGGGAGGAAGAGGGCCGTGTCCAGGGCTGGTGCCAGGAACGGGAGGGTGTCCTGTGCCGTGAGGCGTGCGGCAGGGTGGGATGCGGCAAAGTGGGAGAGAAGAGAAGGGCACGCGGCCGTCCAGAGAGCTGGAGGGCTGCCCCCGTGCTCTGGGGCCTGGCCGGAGGCTTCTGGGCACCAGGGCCGGGCCTGACCCTCGTCTGTTTGTCTCCAGCACCGTCGCCGACTTCCCAGCAGGAAGCTGTGCTGCCGCTGCCTCCATCCCTCGTCCCTCTGGAGGCCACCGACAGCATGCTGGAGCTGCCGCACCCACTCCTGCAGCAGACCGAGGACCAGTTCCTGCCCCCAGCGCTGACAGACAGCTCGCCTCTGATCAGCTTCTCTCCGCCCTTGGACCAGGACGACTACCTGTGGGGCCTGGACGAGGGCGAGGGCATCAGTGACCTCTTTGACTTCTATGACTTCGGGGACCTGCTGATTAATTGAGTGACCCTGCCCACCCCCAGCAGCCTGCCACTGTCTCTACCTCCTTGCAGACGGACTGACAGGCCCTCTGCCTGCACTGGGACACTGGCCGCTAGGTGTTACCCTTCCAGTACGGGGGTCTCCTCTCCTTCCTGCCCCCCGCCCCTGCACCAGCCGAGGCTGCCTGGGAAGGTCGTGGAGGGTGCGGGTGAGGATTGTGCCAGGGTCTGAGTACGGTCCTTCCTAGTGGAAGCTGGGCCTGCAAAGGCCCATTTAGCCTTCTGACCTCTCACGTGAAGGGCCACAGATGAGGTGACTAGGTCCGGGGCAAGGCCCTGCCACGGCCTTCTAAGGGGTAATTAGGACCCTCAATGTATTGGAAAGCACTTAATGCCTTGTGTATTTATTTCAGGTTGACTTTAGTCTATGTGTCTTCCTTGAGTTTTAGCAGGGACGTGTTCCGGTCAGGCTCCTCAGGCCCACACTGACCGCTGTCCAAGGGCAGCCCTGGGCTTGCAGGCACCCAGGCCAACTCCCTGACCCCCCATCGTGGTGGCAGCTGGGTCTCTGAGTCGCCGTCCCAGGACCGTTCATTGCACTTAGGTTCCTAATTCTAGTAAGTGGCGGCTGAGGGCCCAGCCGTGGCCGCCTGGCCTCCTCTGTCCCAGAGGTGGTTGCAGGGAGCCATCCCAGCTCAGGCGGCACTGAGGCTCCTGGGAAACAGGACCAGCCAATAAGGAGCCTCCCTCCCTGTGGAATTCCTTATATCCTTCCCTTAGAACGTAAAAAATGGTCCTCGGGGAGATGCAGAGCAGAGCTGCGGAGGACGTGCGGACAGGAGTGTAGAAGCAGGTTGAACGGCCCTTGCAGGCACTGCCCCTCCGCTTGGGCCTTTGCCTGGGACAGGGGCTGTTGCACATGGAGGACCTGGGGGACAGGGCAGCCGCACAACAGAGAAGGGTGAGATGAGACCGGAAATTGCCAGAACACGCCCCTCTGTAGCTGCCGGTATCCTCCTCTCCTTCCTTGGAAAGATTTTGGGTTTTTTTGCCTCGTTTGTTAAAGGGGGTGATTCTTTAAGGACTTCCCCTTCCCCCCCAGCTCACACATGGACCCCCAGGGACAGAGGTGACCAGGACTTGATGGCATGTTGGCTCCTTTTGTCAGGAATGCAGAAGTGACATGGAGGGTCTTCCCTGCAGACCAGACTAGGCAGCTAATGAGATGGGCTCGTGTTACCTCTTCAGACCTGGAGTTCTAGGGTCTTTGGCCTCCCCCACCCTAACCCCCAGGGGCTTGACCATCCCACCTTGTCCTTGTAACCCAGCTGGGTGGGGGGCTGTCGGCTCTCCTCCCCCACCCAGCCCGGGGTGGGGTGCCCTGGGCTGAACCACGGCTGTGCCTTCCGGAGGGAGGCGGCCAGGGGCAGTGGTCTGAGAGGCCCACTCCCCACCTCAGGGAGCAGTTTTCTCAGGGGCTCAGCTGGGCAGCACTTTGTTTTTCCTACGTTTGTAGCATTAAGCTAGTTCATAGTATGAATTCAGCCTTGTGTGATTGCTCTCAAAGTGATCTATAGGCCTCTGAAGTTTGGGGGACAGGGTCCAAGGCAACTAATGCCCAGCTGGGTGCAGTTGGGCCCTGTCATTTGCAGGTCAAAGGCACCCAGCTCTATAAACAGGGCTAACCTATAATTTACAGAAATGCCTTTGGTCTCCCCTCCCCCACAGCTCCACGGGGCATTTGCAGCCCAGCCAGCTGCCTAGGACCACCTTGGCCCTTGCGGGTCTGGTCGGGGCCTGTGGGGCTGGAGATGGCCGAGCCACTGGGCTGCCGTTTGTCCACTCACCATCTCTGAGGACAGGCATGTTTGATTTTCATGCCTTGGGCTCTATCTAGAGCTTTCTCCTAGAATTGAATCAGAAAAAAAGGAGTAAGAGGCCTGCAGGGTCCACTGGGAATGAGTTTAATGCTGAAATCTGGCCGGAATACAAGCTCTTTCTCCAGATGCCCAGCAGCAGGGTTGGACCCAGGGGCTTCCCCGTGGGCCCAAGGCCTGTCGCCTGAGCAGCTTCCCCGGTCACCTCCTGTGTGGTCCCCTGCCTGGCCCCGGGGCTGGGCCACCCAGACCCATTCTCAGGCTCGGTGTAGGAAATGAGTTTGAGCCTCTTTCTTACCAGTGACACTTGAAACCCCCCCAAGTTCACTGAAGTGCTTTAAGAATGCATTTTGAAGGGTATTTTTCCTTTAGGGGCCAGGAAAACATTGAAACTAGGGCAGAAGAAAAGCCAGTTTCTTCCTAAGGTACATTATTTCTGCCAGGAAGTTCCTCAGCCCCCAAGTCACCTGTGTTCCCAGGGACATCAAAGACTCAGGGCCCCAGGGAACCCAGTAGTATTACATTGTTGGATAGAGTCGGATTCTAAGAAATTCCTTAAAACCAGGGACATGCTCCCGTGTCCCTTCCGTTGACAGTGTTGGCTAGACCAGAGTGGCGTCCCCTCCCCACCGCAGTGCTGGTCTGGCCAGCACAGCTACAGGAAAAGGGGAGAAGAAGCTCACAAAACTGGCTCTGGGAAGGTTCAGGCTTCATTTTCTCTCCCCAAGTGTTTCCAGCATCAGTTCTGCACAGTGTTTAGTGTCTTTAGTGAAAGAGTTTTCATGTCCTGTGTCTGAGCGTTGTGTGGCTTAGCACATTTGAAGTGGAAGCCTTTTGGGGTTGTTTACAAGCAGCTATCTGGTTCTTGTCATTGTGCTCCAGGGTCCCCTGGGACCCTGTTCTCCCGAGAGGACCCTCAGTAACCAGAAACCTGGCCAGCCTGGGTGAGTGAAGAAGCCTTGTGTGAGGCATATGGGTCTCGAGGGCAAACAAACCCGAGGGAGCCCGGCCTTGGTGCGGGGACTCTGGATGGGTCACTTACCTCTGACCTGCGTTTGCCCTGGGTCCTACTTTGATGAGCGCCGTGTAAACCTCCCTGTGTGTGATAATTGGGCATTAAACAGCAACTTGGGGCACCTGGTCTCTGTTGTGCTTTCTGAAGGTCATAGCTGTGGGTCTAGTTCCGCCAGGTCAGGTGTGGGGACTATCCTGACCAACTGACTGGTTTCTCCCTTTTCCACACTAGCTTATTACCATGCCTGAAATCTCCCCATTAAGACCAAAAAGTCGGCTGCACCCCGATCTAAAATGGGAGCACCTTCCCTGCTCACCTGAGCTATTTCAGTAGCTTCTTTAATATTTTCTGCTGCCCACTCTTCTCCATTTCAGCCTCTCTAGCAGTGGTTTTCTAAGTGTGGTCCTCAGACCAGCATTACTTGGGAACTTGTGAGAAATGCATATTCTCAGGCCCTACTCAGGACCTGAAGAAGGAACTCAGCGGGTTGGACCCAGAACCACAGCTTAATAAGCCCTCCAGGTGGTTTTAACGCAGCTGAAGTTTGAAAGCCACGTCCTCTCCTACCCCAGAGAGATCCTCCTCAAACAATTCTGGTGATGCCGCTCCCCCGCCTAATGGATGGCTTCTCTCCGCCCTTAGGATGAAATCTCCCCCTTTGCTTGACCAGAAAGTCCATGTACAACCTTACAACTGGCTTGCTCTAATTTTCCAGACCCACTGGCCACTCCTCGCCACCCAGTCACATGGGACTTCTATATTAGTTCCCCAAAACAATACGTTTCCTCTCTTCTGAGCCCTTCCACGTGCTGTGCGCTCGCTCCCCTCGTCATGCCCTTCTCTCCTTTTCAGCTGAACTGGCTCCTGCCTATTCTTCAAGGTCCAGTTCAATAGTCTTTGTAGTTTTCCTTGACGCTAACATGTAACCTTTAATACTTTGCACACAGATATGGTTATTTATGCTCAGCAGTGGGGAGAGAGAAATGAATAAGAGTCCCCATCCTCAGGATGCTCACAGGACAGACATAAAAGTATAATTACAGCTCTGGCTGGTGTAGCTCAGTGGATTGAGCACGGGCCTGTGAAGCAAAGGGTCACTGCTTCGATTCCCAGTCAGGGTACATGCCTGGATTGCAGGCCAGGTCCCCAGTCAGGGACACATGAAAGGCAACCACACATTGATGTTTCTCTCCCACTCCTTCTTCCCTTCCCCTCTCTCTAAAAATAAACAAGTAAAATATTTCTTTAAAAAAGTATAATTACAAACGACATGGCAGTTGCAGTAATATACTTTATAGGAGTTGGGGGGTCATTAGGGAAGGCTTCCTGGAGGAGGTGATGTCCAAACTATATCTTAAAGGATAAGCAGCAATAGCCTGGAGTTAGGGCATATGGGGACAGACGGGAGTCCTCCCTTCCAGTCAGAGCAATCAGTATATTCTGTCCTGTGGTCCAGCAGACAAAGGCGGGTGTCATGGAGCCCTGCTTGCTGCTCCACCTCTGCCAGTTTGGAGCCCTGGCCCTAGGAAGGTCCAGGGAGTCAAAGAGGTTGACACAGACCCTGAGGGCAGTGGGATGGGGTGGGGGGAGCAAGGTCTGGGGGTCCTGTTAGACCACAGGGGACTAACTGACTAATGAGATGGGTCTGGAGCTTGACATCAAGAATCTGTTTACGTGGAAGGCAAAAAAAATGCCAGTAAATATGTCTGGTTCTGGCATCATTTGGAGTAAAAAAGGTTTTTTTTAAGATTTTACTTCTTTTTAGAGAGAGGAAGAGAGGGAGAGAAACATCAATGTTCGAGAGATGCATCAATCGGTTGCTTCTCACATGCCCCCAACTGGGGACCTGGCCTGCAGTCCAGGCATCTGTCTTGACTGGGAATCGAACCAGCAACCTTTCAGTTTGCAGGCTGGTGCTCAGTCCACTGATCCACACCAGCCAGAGCCGGAGTAAAAAACCCTTGAATGCAAATATCATTCTTGATGGTAAAGCATTAGACACAAGACAATGACACCTCCTATCACTCACTCCTACGAATCAACATCATCCTGCTGATCTCAGACAAAGCAATAAGACCAAGTGCAGGGGAAAGCCCAGATCTGACTGCCCCCAAAACCTGTGCAATCAGCTACTGTGGTCTCCTGGACAGGGTCGCTTACCTGTCAGACGTTTATTGAGCATCTGCCTTGTGCCAGGGTGGGGCAATAACCACTGCTCCTGCCTCGCCGAGGCCCTCAGCAAGCTTGAAGAAATGGCTTTCTCTTTCCACGAGCAGACCAGGCTTGGCAGGCGCGTGTCTGCCACACACATGCCTGATGTACCTCACATTCTGGACCATGACAGGAAGGGAACACCAAGCCTCTCTGGGGGTCTGGAAGAGAGTTACCCACAGGGCTCAGCAGATAACAATACTGTTTTACTATGTAGACTCATATATTTTGTTTGTCTCTTGATCCTTCCATCAGTCCCGGGAGAGAGAACAGGTAATAAAGCTTGGAAAGTTTAAGGGCCACAAAAAAACCCAGAGGGGGTCTTCACTCATTTGTTTTACAAATACTTCCCGGCCTCCTACACGGATGCATCTCACACTTCGGCACGCGGCAGAATCACCACAAGAGCTTGTTAAAAACAAGTTGCGGGGCCCCATCCCCAGAGTTTCTGTTTCAGTGGGTCAGGGGCGGGGCCTGAAAATGTCC